AGCGCAGAACTTGTACGCCCCTAGCAAGTGATTATCACACTGCTGGAGGGTATAGAAAATGGTATATAAGTTGGAAAAGGTTTGAATAAAATGGGCTTCAGTCCTGATCAGACTGTTCCCAGAAGAGCTGCCTCCGAGTGGTCTTCTCGCCGTCTCCTGATTCTCCGGTGCGGGTCCTAACACCCTTGGTCAGTGCTGGTCACTGACAAATTCTACTAAAAAACAACATGGGAATAGAAGTAATTTTAAATGTTCAAGACATTAAATGCAGGACTGTGATCCATATTGCCACTTAGTATACTTTGCATTACAGGATATAAAAACTAACCCCCATCTATGGAATGTTAAGCTGATACTCAAGACAGTCAAAGCCTCTTGTAATTCAATATCCCACACTATTTTCTGGTTGTACCAAAAAATAAACAACCAGTGAATGATATCACCTCTTAAAAAAAAGCATTTACACTTTAAAAATGGGATGAGGTGGGATTCCCTCCTTCTTAAAAATGTTTCTAGAGCTACTAAAAAACTCGCATTTACAAAATAGTTGATAAAAATATTCCTCTGGATTGTACAAGAAGGGAGACAGGGACCACTGATAAGACATGGGATATGACATTATTCAGGCTTCTTTTTCTCCTGCTTCATCAGAGGCTGGGTTCTCCTGTTTTAGTTTCTCCATTTTCTGCAGGTAACTCTTCTTTAGTTTTTTGGTTAGCCACTTCAGCCTGCTTTCCCTTCACTCCCCTTTTCCCTTTTGCTTGCACTTTTTTGTCTGAAGATTTATCCTTTCCCGACGCCTTTTTTGGCTTTGCTTCCACTTTTGCAGGAGCAGGTTTAGCCGACAACTGCGCCAATCTCCTCTTGGGCTCCTCCTTCACCGCCCCCTCGGCGGAGCTGACCTCCCTCATGGGCATCTTGGCAGGGGCAGGACGCGAACCGGGTGCCTGCAGGCAGCGGCACGGAGAGCCTTCGCGAAGCTGGGCTGCCAAACCGCTACCGCTCCTCCCGCCGCTGGAGCTGTCGAGACCCGCCGGGAGGCGGTGGGAGAACCAATCGGACAGATCATTTCTTATGTTCCAATAATGGCCTTTCCTACTTAATGTAGGCACACACACACACAATTTCCTCCTCCCTAGTCTTCTCACTCATAAAGCTTTAGAGATATATTTGTATATTTCACTCAATGTAAATTAAAACTAAAAGTCTGTATCTTTATTGTAGGCCAAGAGAAGTAGAATGTGTACATAAAAATGTATCTTTTTTTTTTTACAATAGTCAAAAGTCATAAAGGTATGCCCTATGATTATACTCCTGTATAATCTCTATTACAATCATCATAATGACCCAGTAACTACAGGAGAAAATAAATAAAATATATACTGTGGGAAAAAGGATCACTAGAGACTTCATTCCATAAGTTACTCAATAGTATATGGTTATCAGCATTTACCTACAATCTCGAGTAAGATGGGATAGATTAGCACCAGTGGCAGGAAAACACTTCATTCTGTGTACACCAACCTTTAATGCTTTATGAACAATTCTGTTTATGAAAGCAAATTAAGTTTACATAGTCTAAATAAGCAATCCAAAATTCACTGTAACAGTAGTGAATGCTCACTAGTAAAAACAGATTACAAAACACTTAAGGACTTGTGAATATTGATTCTATGAAGATACATCAGGATATTAATGGGCCAGCCTCATTTTTTTCTTAATATGCAATTTGTAAGACGATTGATTTCTAAAATTCTGAATGTCTGTCTTTTATTCTAGTGCCTCAAAATCTTATCCAGAGCACCCACCTCATGCAGGACTTACAATATTGCTCAAAATGAGCCATAAGAAACCTCTTAGATCTTTTTTATTTTATTTTTTGAGTTGGAATCTCACTCTTGTAGCCCAGGCTGGAGTGCAGAGGCACACTCATGGCACCGCAGCCTCCACCTGCTGGACTTAGGTGATCCTTCTGCCTCAGCCTTCCAAGCAACTGGAAGTACAGACGCATGCCACCAGGTCCAAGTAGTTTTTGTGATTTATTGTAGAGACGAGGTCTCACCAAATTGCCCAGGCTGGTTTCGAACTCACTGGCTCAGTCATTCCTCTCACCTCGGCCTCCCAAAGTGTTGGGATTACAGGTCGAGCCACCGCACCCGGTCCTCTTATATCTTTTAAAGCATCTTACATTTCATTGTAATTCATCAATCCTGGAAAAGCTGAGATAAATGATGCTTACTTAGTACAGAAGAGCTTGTCATAGCCCTAATGTAGCAACAGCTGATTACATAAATATTAGAAATGAAGTTACAACATCAAGTGAGTTGAGAGTTGGAATTGCATTGATATTTGCTTTTCAAAAAAACCTCAAATTCTGTCGATGCAAAAACAAAAGTATACATGGAAAATACTTATGCCTCCCTGACAAAAATCAAGCTTCTGATTCTATTAAACATGTCAGCAAATGATCTAATTGTTTTGATGTGGATTTATTAATTTTGTGTACTGTCTGAATGTGCCATAGTGCTTTAGAATGTGAATCTTCCTATGTTTATTTAAACTTGACTTTTGATTAAATAATTTTCCAAATATACTGCATCTGTAAACTTTTCATTATGAACACCTTGGTGTTTTCTTTTTTTTTTTTGAGAAAGCAGGTTTTATTGAGAGGACAGGGAAGCTCCCACAGTGGGAGGAGACTGTTTTCTAAGGCATATATCTTGAAAAAAGGTCATTTCGCATTCATTAAACTTGTAGCGGTTCTGTCCAATACAAATATCTAATGGCAAATAAAATTTCACCTACAGTTAAAGGCTTTAGACATTCTTTATATTTAAAAGATCTGTGGTATAAGTAAAGGCAATGCTACTCTTTGCATTGGTAAAGCTTTTTTCTATCTGCTCTCTATGGCTTATATTTTGATAAAAGTTTATCTAGTCTTTACAGGTATAGGGAATTTACCAAGTATGAATTCTGTAATGTTGAAAAAAGTTGGAGTAATGATTAAAGATTTTGTCACATTCTTTACATTCCTGGGGTTTCTCTCCAGCATAGATTTTCTGATGTTGAACAAAATGTGAGTACTGAATAGAGGCTTTGTCACATTTCTCACATTTATAGGGGTTTCTCTCCAGTATGGATCCATATATGTCCAGCAAATCCTGAATAAAAGTTAAACCTTCGTCACACTCTTCACATTTGCGTGCTCTCTCTGGGATAGATCCTCAGATGCACAGCAAGTCCTTTAAGAGACTTGAAGGCTTTGCCACATTTTTCACATTTGTAGGGTTTTCCTCTAGGTTGGATTCTCCGATGTTGAATAAGATGTGAATATGGAATAAAGGCTTTGCCACAGTCCTAACATTTGTATGCTTTCTCTCCAGTATGGATGTTCATGTGCTGAGCAAGTCCTGAATGAGAGCTGAAGACTCTGTCACACTCTTTACATTTGTAGGGTTTATCTTCAGTATGGATATTCATATGTCCAGCAAATCCTTTATAAGAGCGAAAATCTTTGCCACATGCTTGACATTTGTAGGGTTTCTCTCCAGTATGGACTGACTGGTGTTGAACAAGATTTGAGTACCAATTAAAGGTTTTGGCACATTCTTCACATTTGTAAGGTTTCTCTCCTGTATGGATTCTCTGATGTGTAGTGAAGTAGGAGTGAAGTGCAAAGGCTTTGTCACATTCCTCACACTTGTAGGGTTTCTCTTCAGTATGGATCTTCCTATGTCGAGCAAGTACTGAATGAGAGCTAAAGGCTTTGTCACATTCTGTACATTTGTAGGGTTTGTCTCCAGTATGGATACTCATATGTCCAACAAATCCCTTATGAGAGCGGAAGGCTTTGCCACATTCTTCACATGTGTAGGGTTTCTCTCCAGTATGAATGCTCGTATGAAGATCAAGTCCTGAGTGAGAGCTAAAGGCTTTGTCACACTCTTTACATTTGTAGGGTTTGTCTCCAGTATGGATACTCATATGCCCAGCAAATCCTTTATGAGAGCGAAAGGATTTGCCACATTCTTCGCATGTGTAGGGTTTCTCTCCAGTATGGATTCTCTGATGCTGAATAAAACTTGAGTACCAATTAAAGGCTTTGTCACATTCTTCACATTTGTAGGGCTTCTCTCCAGTATGGATTCTTTTATGTCCAACAAGTCCTATAAAAGAACGAAAGGCTTTTCCACATTCTTTACATTTGTATGGTTTCTCTCCAATATGGATACTTTTATGTCCAGTAAATCCTTTATGAGAGCGAAAGGCTTTGCCACATTCTGTACATTTGTAGGGTTTTTCTCCAGTATGGATACGCATATGTCCAGCAAGTCCCATATGAGAGCAAAAGGCTTTGCCACATTTTTCACATTTGTAGGGTTTCTCTCCAGTATGGATCTTGACATGTCGGGCAAGTTTTGAATGGGAGCAAAACGGTTTGTCACAATCTTTACATTTATAGGGTTGCTCTCCAGTATGGATGGTCATATGTGCAGCAAATCCTTTATGAGAGCAAAAAGCTTTGCCACATTCTACACATGTGTAGGGTTTCTCTCCAGAATGGATCCTTTGATGTTCAGTAAGATGTGAGTACCGATTAAAGGCTTTGTCACATTCTTCACATTTATAGGGTTTCTCTCCAGTATGGATTCTTTGATGGTGAATAAGATGTGAGTACCGATTAAAGGCTTTGTCACATTCCTCACATTTATAGGGTTTCTCTCTACTATGGATACTCCTATGTCCAGCAAATCCTTTATGAGAGCGAAAGGTTTTGCCACATTCTTCACATTTGTAGAGTTTCTCTTGAGTATGGATTCTCTGATGCTGAATAAAATTTGAGTACTGATTAAAGGCTTTGTCACATGCTTCACATTTGTAGGGTTTATCTCCAGTGTGGATTCTCTGATGGTGAATGAGATGTGAGTACCGATTAAAGGCTTTGCCGCATTCTTCACATTTATAGGGTTTCTCTCCATTATGGATTCTCTGATGTTGTGAAAGATATGAGTAATAGCTAAAGGCTTTGCCACATTCTTCACATTTGAAGGGTGTCTCTCCAGTATGAATTTTTTCATGAATCTTTAGATTGGATGATTTACTAAACACTTTCCCACATATATTACATTTGTGCAAATTTCCTCCAATATTAATTCTCTGATTTTGAGTACATTTTGAGGACTGGTTAAATGTTTTCCTGTATTCATCACATTTGTAAGCTATTTCTGGAATATGGATACTCTGGTGGATAATAAATTGGGAGCGTTGAAGAAAGACTTCCTCACACTTTTTACATTTGTAATGGTTAAGTACAATAGAACATCCTTTCTGCCCTTTACCCTTGTTCACACTTTCCCAGTCTTTCCTTAAGTGAAAATTCTTATGGTGAAATCTTTCATAACTTCCAAATGTCACTTTTGTGAGTGACTCTTCCATGCTCTCCATTGGTGAAAGGATCTTGGTAAAATGAGAAGTCACAACTAAAAATAATAAAAATAGGAATTTATTGCACTTAATAGATTCAGGTAAATATGTTTTACATATCTAACAACATAATAGCATACCATGCTAAGAACATTAGCAAGTTAGCAAACTAAAAATTGCTGGTCTCCCCTCCTTCATAACTATATGAATTTAACATAATACTGACCAAATTGACTTTGTGAAAATTCCAAAACACAGGTAGGAGTTCACGGAATTCCAAGTGTGCACAATGTTAAGAAGCGTTACATGGAAAAGGAAGTTTAGTAATTTTGCCACTATTAACTCTCTCCCTTCACAATATAGCATGATGCAATCAAAGGAAAACCTCCAACTCCTGGCTTCTTCCCCAGGGAAGAAGGAGAACAGTGAACCATGAGCCCACTCTTCAGAAATTTGGAAATTTACCCAAATGGCTTATGTTTCTCCTTACAAAGTGCTGAAAAAGACAGTGGTATACTTTGGATGACAGGTTGGCTCTGTTGAGACTAAAGATAAATGATTCTTACAGCAGCAGAGAGGGGGCAGTACCATACTCACACCACAGATATAGCACATCACTATGAGCCCTTGAGAGAAAACATGGTCAAACTATTTAACTGGAAGAGTAGATGCATAATTCCAGAGCAGGCACAACATGAGAACAAGTCTGAGAGACCCCCAGAATCTCTAACTTAGTGATTGGTGTCACACTTATCTAGACAAAGCAACTCCATAAAGATTAAGCAGGTAGTTCTTTTTTTTTTTTTTTTTTTTTTTTTT